TTTGGCTGCTTGGGGCGGCCAAAACCCTGGAGCCGGCCCTGGATATTTGCCTTGTTTTACAACAGGCTACATAAAAAGCACTAGCAAAGTCAGTACGAACTAAAATTTCATACAGACAATGACTTGTTTATACTGCACTGAAACGTAAGTACAATATTTGTATTCAACCTGATTTGTTTTATAATTATATGGTAAAAATGAAAAAGTCAGCAATTTTTCAGTAATAATGGCTGTGGCACTTATTTTTATGTCTGATTTTGTAAGCAAGTAGTTTTTAAGTGAGGTGAAACTTGGGGGTACACAAGACAAATCAGAGTCCTAAAAGGGGGTACTGTAGTCTGGAAAGGTTGAGAGCCACTGATGTAGTCTGACCTCCTGCATAACACAGGCCAGAGAATTCCATTCAGTGAATCCTGCATCGAGACCAACATTGGGTTTCTTGGTGACTATTTTTTTTCATAGCTTTACTGTAATCTAGCAAGTCAGTTCCTTCTGGGGCAAAACCTCCAGGAGCAGATGTTTTATGGAGCTAGCACACAGAGAGCAAATGAAACTGCTTACCCCCTGCTCAAACTGATATGGTAATCTCGCCTTCCACAGGGAGGGAAAGAGGTGATATGCCAACAGGATGGGGCCAGATGGCTGGCCGTGAGATGCTTATGGAGGAGGCCACACCTCAAATACAGCAGGGACTGTCTTTTCCTCCCTGGGAGACACTGGGATGGGTTTCTACGCCTTTAATTCACTATGGCCCAAAGTTTCCAAAGGGCCCTCTAATTTTGGGCACCTCTGGGCCTGATTTTCAGAGGTACTGAGTTCCCACGACACCAACTAAAGTGAGTGGGAGCTGCAGGTGCTCAGCACCTCTGAAAGCCAGGCCCACGGTGAAATGAGCATCTACAAATCAAGGCACCTGAAATCAGTGGCAATTTTTGAAAATTTGGCCCTGTACTTTGTTTCCTCACCTTGATCCAACCTTGCCATCCCTCCTTTCCACTGGTGAAAGGTATTAAATGACACAGCGGCACTCTGCCATAAGGGTAAAGCTTGCTGGGCAGAAGAAAGAGCTTTCTTGAGGACTGTAACTAGGTGGCTCGCTCTTGAAGGGCTGGAAGGCTGGGGCTAGCCACCCCTGATTACAGAGTGAGCCACACCTGGGTGACTGTCCTATAAAGAGTAGCCAAAGGCTGCAACAAAGGGGGCAATCTCAGGGATTAGAAATTGCTAGGCGTGAGCATCAGAACTGAGACGCCAGCCAGGGAGGGCCCGGAAGTGGCCTGCCAAAGCAGGAAAGACCCCAGGCAGGAAGGCCTAGGAAGAGGAATCATAGAATCATAAGAAACTTTTGTTAGTATGGACTTTTTGGATGGATTTTGAAACTTTATTTTAATGT